TTTTTTTCATGTTTCTCAACTCTCAAGGGCCATCCCACATTAGGCCCAACTTGAGTAACGCAGATCATACTTCACTAAACAGTAAATGGCACTCAGTTTCCATTAACTCAGACAAATTTTCCACATCCGAAAACAAATACACATGACGATCGACCACAACAAAGAAAATCACAATATTTGTATGTACGTGACTGCAAGAGCTAGTCATTGAACTACACCAAAGCATACTGATTAATTAAGTGCTTCATCCAATTCAACCATTGCCTTTTGCACTCAGGGTTGTCAACCGAGCACCATTCTTTAATAGAAACATAATGCACTAATCTAAGTCGTGATGATAAAGGTAAAGTCCGAGCCCAAAGCGTGCACAAGCCCTACGAAATGCCATTGCCTCCGCCTTCTCCACAGCATTCACGTAACCGGCCTCACCAATTGGAGCAGTTCCTGTTGATTCTCGGAATATCTACTCCATACATATCAAAAACAATTCTTTCATTAAGTTAATTTTCCAGACATTTCTTGTTTCTCTTTGATTCTAAGATCAGCAAAACATAGAAGAGACCTCGATATAAGGATAAGAATTGAGGTACAAACAGTTGTAGAACAAAAAAGAACGATAGTTTGCGTTCACAATTAAAAAGTTTGTCGAATGCCAAGAGAATGTAACAAATAAGAAGCACCATACTCGATTAAACTCCATGATCCACTAAAAAACAGAACAAAATGCAATCCAACAATTTGCATATATATATATATATTAGGCTAGTGCATGGAAGACTAATACACGTGGAGTGGCCGAAATTAAAATCCCACGATGCGTGTGGCAATATGGTTACATTGCAGTCGATCCTCATTTATGCACGAAACAAAAATAAAGTAACACGGCTCATAAATCCAGTTTTCCATCCTCAGGTCATTTTAATCCAGCGGTGCATCATGAGGTTAATAATAACAACAGTATTGGCACAACAGAAGATAGTACCTCTGCATCAGTCCCGTAAAGTGTTACACGATACACAACAGACACTGATTTCCCATCGGCTGAATGCGTAATGCTGCGGACCTCACCGGACCACTCTACAAGTAACAAGAAAATTGCATAGCATAAAAAAAACTCACCCAGTGAGATAACATAACCTATATGGTCTGACATGCATACCTGGCGCGTACAAGTTCAATATCCGATTCAATATGTACCTGCAAGGAGAGCACAAGTTTACACAACCATCATATTTACCTCTTACAATACGAAATCAATGCAGTCGACATTGTGAATATTAACAGACATAACTATTACGGAATTACTATCTGATGAGTACAAATTAAAAAGTAAACCACTAGAGAGTGAGTGAAAAACCGCCACCAGCATATATAAACCCACACAGAGACACGCAGATATATATGTCTGATAGAGCGTTTTGCAAAGAGCAATGAGGAGGAAAAACCAGGGGATGTATTTGGCACCAGCTGGCTCATGGCGAAGCCTGAGGAGGGATTCCGGAACTTTTTTGTTCAAGTCCTTGAGAATGAGAGAGAGAGGTCTGCTTATTCCGGCAGTGGGAACGCCGTCGTCATCGATTCCATGTTCTTGCTGCAATTTAGCACCGTTGGTGGCGGTGGAGTGAAAGAGCTTGGCGGATGAACGGCGGCGTGCCAATTGAACGCGCAACCAACTTGTAGCTGCCATTTTCTATATCTCTCACCGGAAAAGCTTCCTCTATTTCTATGGAAGAAGGTGCGTTTCAATTCCGTTTGCCCCCAAACATTTGTAGCTTCATTTTTGTTGCTTATGGTGTGGAAATTGGAATGAGAGCTCAGGGTACAACTATTGATGCATCATATGACCTAGGTAAAAATTGGGCCTTGCCTTTGCTAATCTAATCGATGCCCAATGTCTCAAAGCTATTTCCATCTTATATGAGCTTCAAGACCCAAATATAAAGACATCATCTTTTGTGTTTACAAATGTTTTGTGGACAACTATATGTATTTGGACCTTTATATTCTGGACCTGTTTTATATTTTAGTGCTTAGTAGTTATTTGTATGTTGGGCCTTTACTTTGTGATATTTGTTCAGTCCATTAGGTTTTATCTCTCCCTCATATAAAAAGGAGAATTAGGGTTGTACACCAAACACTTTTTTTTGGTTTTTCAGATTTTGTTCAATACAAGTTTTCTTTTTCTTTCTCTCGTTTTTACTGAATTTCTCTCAATGAATCGATCACTTTATCGTTCATATTATGGTATCAATCGCTGAGTTTCACTCGATCCTTCGCTGTTCCCGACCTAGTCCACAACAAGCAAAGAAATTTCCTTTTCTTTTTTCCCAAAAAGAACAAAAATAATAATTGTAGTAGATTACTTGAATTGGCAGTGTTTTTGAAATTGGTATTTATTGTTCTTTTAGATATACGCTGGAAAAGATTTTGTTGTAGCTAGAAATTAAACGTAGCAGCACATGATCGAGTAATAATAGCTTTCTCTCTCGTTACAAGGAGTACAAGTTTTATTATGGACTGGATGGATCATACAATTAATACTACTACAGCTACATTGAACAAGTAGCATCCTTGGAATGGAAAATAGTGATATGAAGTAGCTAGGATCAGAAATTAATAAGAGCCAGCTGCTGAACGTTGAGGGGATGGGCGTCGGTGGGAGGCCCCGTATAGGCCCTATGAGCGAGTATTGCATCGACAGCCTGCGTGGGATGAAACGCGTCCCAGAAAACATACTCGTTCCTGTTGGGGCAAGGCGGGGACCAAGGCATGCACGTGATCTGCCCCTGATTCCTCCCGATCCCACAGCAACCACGGTCGATCACCCTAAACCCGTACCTCTCCGGATTGTTGAGTATGTCCCCTAGGGCGCTGTAGGAATTGCCATAGACGAACATGGAACCCGGGTGGGTCCCATTGTTCATGACGTCGACTAGGGAGAGGAGGCCCTGGTTGAAAGGGCCCAGCATCTGGTTCACATTGTCCACACACCTCCCCGGGGGGCCCAGACCCGTGGCCCGCTGGTTGGGGATGCAACCCAGTGGACCCAAACCAGCAAGGAAGAACTTGCGGAGGCCCACGCTGTAGAGAGCGACGAGCTGGCGAGCGTAGTGGTTGAGGAGAAGGGTGGCAAACTGGGTGGGGTTGTAGTTGAAGCTGGTCGGGTACAAGGTCGGGAGCAGATAGTTGTTGATGTAGTCGTTGCTCCCAAACACAAGCACGGCTATGGAATGGGACAGGTATCGATTTAGGTCCCCTGCTCGCATCATCGTCCTCAGCTGACTCAGTGTAGTCTCGAAATTGACCACCTGCTGACTCAGAGAGTAGCGTTCTCCCTATATATGTATATACAATATATATATATATATGATGGATGAATTTTGTTCTTCAATTAATAATAATTAATATAATGCATGATTAATGAATATGTATAGTATACATAGTGTTGGCCAGTTTCATCAAGGATGCCAGCTGCTGCAGAAGCATAATTAACTCCTCCGAGGATTCTGGTTCCCCTTGTGCTGGGGTCTGCAAAAGGAGGTGGCGCAGCAATACCCAACCAAGCTCCTGATCATCATCAAATAATTAATAAATATAATCGACTATATGTCTATATATATATATATATATTATATACATACGTACGTACCAAGGTAATCGACGAAATTATTTCCGTTGGAGAATTTGCCGGTAGGGCCGGTGTTGGAGTCGACACCATAGGGATAGTAGTTGGACTTGGCAATGGAGTTGAGGAAATTGTTGTTCCCATTGTCCACCAAAGAGTCTCCAAACACAAACAGGGCTGTGGCTTGGGCAGCATTCTTCACATGATTAACATTAACATTATTATTATTGTTGTTGTTACTACCATCGGACAAGCACTCTACTGCTGCCAATGCCATCATCATCATCATCATCATCATCCACACCATCATCACCCAACAGCTCATTCTATTACTTTCTGCAACACTAGCTACTACCCTCTTTATTTTTATTTATTATTATATATAACAATTCATCAGCTGAATTATTAATGGATTGACATAAATAACCGCATAGAGAGAAGGGTAATGGTCCTCTATCCATTGCTTGCAACACGGCTCAATTAATTTGTATTCATCACATAACCAATTTTAATGATTTTTCCATGAAATATGCTCCTTTTGCTCCTAATTTTAGACTGGCTTTTCTAACGTCCACCATGTCCTTTTCCGTTTTCGTGATGCACGAATCTTCACTGTCCTTGCACATTTCATGTGAACCTCCGATCCTCATCACTTCCAATATACTCTCCATTTTTTTTTTTTTTTTTTATGTATTTCATATAATAATTAATCACGTCTGTCTACATAATAACTAAATAAGCGCTTTTCTTGCGGACTAGTTTCTAAGCAAGTTTTGTGTGCACGTATAATTAGGAGTTGTCTGTCATCTCCATCTAGCTACCTAGCTAGTAAACGTCCTCCTAATATCTAATTAAAACTCATAATTAAGTATATGGGAAAAAAATGAAGGGAAAATAAAAGGAATTAATTAAGGAGATCATGAAGAAGTTAATGAAGCGTAAAACTTAATGAAAATGATTGTAAATATATATTCCTACTACATACATGCATGCATGTGCAAATCCCTATGGTTAATGCGTTCTCTCCCTCATGTGATTAAAATTATTTGATTGCTAATAAAAATTCATTTTCAACGCACATTGGCCGTCCGATCCCTTTTTTGACCATCCCTAGGAGAAGCTTATTATACAGCACTAATAAATACCTACATATTATTTAGGTGTTTGCTTATTGGTTTTTTTTTTTTTTTTTTTTTTTTTTTTT